CCGGGGGACGGGGGATGGGGGACGGGCCTGGAGCAGGACCAGGGCTTGGCCAGGGCCCCAAAGGGCTGACCCCGGGTGGGACGGGGCGGGTCCTGGCTGTGCCCACCGTCCGCCTGGCTCCCAGGTGCTGTTCAACGTGGCGGCCGCGCAGTGCGCCCTGGGGCTCTGGGCCGAGGCCACCCGCAGCCTGGAGGACGCCGCCGCCCAGGCGCCGGACGGGGCCCGCGGCGACCTGAGCATAGCCCTGGCTCACGTGCAGGTGAGGGGTCGGTGAGGGAGCCGGCCGGCCCCCGCGGGCTCCCGAACAGACCCAGACCGGCTTCCGGGGCTCAGAGTGCGGCTCTGGGACCAGCCTGGGAGAGGAGGAGGGAGGCGGCCTGGTGCGGGGGGCTGGGCCGGGCGCGGTGGCCTGTGGGGGCTCCCCAGGCGCCCGCTCAGGCCTGTGCCCGCTCCCCCAGAAACAGGCTCCCCTGCAGCCCCGGCTGGTCCCCCGGGGCGAGGTCTTCCGGCCGCCCCGGCGGCACCTGGAGCGCCTGGAGCACGTGGACTTCCTGGGCAAGGCCAAGGTCAGTGCTCCCCGCTTCCTGGGCCAGGCCAAGGTCAGTGCTCCCCGCTTCCTGGGCAAGGCCAAGGCCAGTGCTCCCCGCTTCCTGGGCAAGGCCAAGGTCAGTGCTCCCCGCTTCCTGGGCAAGGCCAAGGTCAGTGCTCCCCGCTTCCTGGGCCAGGCCAAGGTCAGTGCTCCCCGCTTCCTGGGCAAGGCCAAGGTCAGTGCTCCCCGCTTCCTGGGCAAGGCCAAGGTCAGTGCTGCCCGCTTCCTGGGCAAGGCCAAGGTCAGTGCTCCCCGCTTCCTGGGCAAGGCCAAGGCCAGTGCTGCCTACTTCCTGGGCAAGGCCAAGGCCAGTGCTGCCCGTTTCCCGCCGGTCTCCTGGGCCAGCTCAGCCGGGGGGGTGTGGGGGAGTCCGCCTGCACAGAGGATTCCGGAGAAGCAGGGTGTTGGAAAGTTGTCCTGAGAACAGCCTGCAGTGACCAGCACAGGCATGTCTCCTCGCCGGCCCGGAGGCCTGGAGGCCGAGGGCAGGGCGAGGAGACTTGGGGGTGGGCAGGCAGCCGGGGCTGGGGAGCGCACATCACAGGCCCGGGTGCGGCTGGCGCCCTGACCCGGCGCCCCTCCCTCCCTCCCTCCCCAGGTGGTGGTGGCCTCTCCCGCGCTCGAGGCCCGGAACCAGGGCCTCTGGCCTCAGCGGCCCCAGGTGGGTGGGCGCCTCCCCAGCTGCCGCCTCGGGGTTTGGGGTCACAGGGCTGCGGGTCTCTCCTGCCAGGAAGGGAGATGCCACCTGTTCTGAGCCCTCCCCTGGCCCCCAATTTCCCTCTGGCACGAAGATGGGGGGTGGCCGTCCCCTCCTGGTCACAGGCTGTGGCTCCAGTCCTGCGGGGGAGCCTGCCAGTCACTCGCCCTGGCACTCCCCGGAGTCTGCACCAAGCTGGATGCCACCTGTGCCCACAGGTCGGGGGTGAGGATGGTGGAGCCGGGCCCCGGGCTGGCCGCAGGTAAGGAGGGGCGTCTCCCCCAGAGCAGGAGCGCCGGGCGCCAGCATGGCCACTCCGTCCTGTCCTTCCACATGGGACCTGGCTGGAGCCCCAGGGCCGGGCACCCAGTCTCCCACCGCCTCCCACAGCCCCCCTAGCCCCCACCGCACCCACCGCCCCTCACCGCCCCCCACAGTCCCCCACTGCCCAGCCCCCCATGGCTCCTCACCACCTCCCACCACCCCCACCACCCCCCACCGCCCCACTTCCCCCCACTGCCCCCCACGGCTCCTCACCGCCTCCCACCGCCCCCCACGCCCGCCCCCACGGCCCCCCCCCGCCCCCCGCCCCCCCGTGTCCTGCCCCCCCCCCCCGTGTCCCGCACGCCAAAGGCCCAAGTTCCTGCCGCCGAGCCCGCCCGCCCCCATGGGACACCTCTGGGGCCTCGAGGGGCTCGGGCCGCGTGGAGGGTCAAAGGGAGGCCCTGGGACGGGGTGCAGGCTGGGCTGTGGTCAGCAGCCCCACCCACCCCCACCCCAGGCCTGGGAGAGGGCCATCGGGTGCTCACGGTGCACAGGGGGTGGGTCCGCACTGCTCCTCTCTCCTCGGTGCCTGGGGCCCCCCAGAGCCCTGGACCGAGGGGGTAGCGGGGGGGGGGGGGCTGCGTCAGGGAGAAGTGAGCGCTGAGACTGGGGTCCCCTCCCCCCAGGGCCCTCGACACAGACGCCTGCAGAGCGGACACCCCCCGGGGCCCCGGGGCGCCCTCCCATGCAGACCTGGAGGCCGGGTCTGAGCAGGCCGGGCGGGCGGGCCCCTGTGCCCCTGGCCCCTGTGAGGAGCGGGTGAGTGAGCCTGAGGGCCCCCCGGGCTGAGTGGGGGGACTGGCCACCGCTGGGTGGCAGCCTCCGTGTCTGCGGGGGCCCAGCTGGGGGGCGGCGGCCGGTGCTCCCCACGCTCAGGGCCCGGCGGTCCCCAGGGCCCGGCCTGCTGTGAGTCTCCCGCCCCGTCACGGCCCCAGCACCCCGCCTCCCTCCTGGCACGGGCGCTGGGTGCTGGGGAGGCTGAGGAGGGAGCGGGGCTTCAGGGCAGGGGGCTGAGTGCCCTCGGCAGCACCGGGACGGGGTCCTGCCACACAGAAAAGCTGCTCAGCCTCACATTCGGTTCATCCAGGGCCCTCCATTCCCTGCCGGTCCCACCGCCCTGCCCCCCAGGCCCCCAGCCCCCGCCCTGCCCCCGCCCTGGAGGTCCCTCCCCGGCCCCCTCCCCAGGCCCCTTCCCTGGCCCCCACCCCGTCCCCACCCCGCCCTGGAGGTCCCTCCCCGGCCCCCTCCCCTGGCCTCTTCCTGGCCCCCACCCCGTCCCCACCCCGCCCTGGAGGTCCCTCCCCGGCCCCCTCCCCAGGCCCCTTCCCTGGCCCCCACCCCATCCCCACCCCGCCCTCGAGGTCCCTCCCCGGCCCCCTCCCCTGGCCCAACAGAGCCGTGACTTCCCTTGCAGCGGCCCGGCTCGGACCAGCCTGGAGGGCAGGTTCCTATAGGTAAGGTGTCCGGGGCCGGGCGCTCCGTGGAGGGGCAGCACAGGGTGGGGGGGGGCTGGGTCGGCCTCTGTGGCCCCCACAGAGGAAGCTGGTGCCCGGCCGCTCTGGTGTTCTGGGAGCTCCCCCAGAGGGCCCCTCGGGCGCCTGAGTCCGGCTCTGCCCCCTCCCAGGGCTGCTGGCAGCTGGGGGCCCAGACCCCGGACCTCCCGAGGACCCCACAGGAGCCGGGGTAAGAGGTCCCGAGCCCAGGCCCCGTCCCCCTGAGTGGCCTGGGGACCCGCCCTCAGCCCCGCCCTCACCCACCCGGCCTTTCTGCCTGACCCAGGGCCTGGCTGCCGGGGACCCTGAGCCCTGGGTGACCCTCACGGTGCAGTGCGCCTTCACCCTGGCCCTGCAGGCCCCCCGCGGGGCAGACCTGCCGCACCTGCGGGCCCTGCTGAGCCAGGCCCTCCCGCGCCAGGCCCAGTGTGGGCAGCTCAGGTGACCGGGGGGGGGGCCGGGGGGCACAGGGGGCCTGGGGGCCCCGCTGGGGGAGGCTGGCCCGTCAGAGGCTGCGACGTCGGGGCCACTGGCCTTCCCTCGCAGCCGCTCTGACGCTCTGGCGGGTCTCCCCCCAGCTACCAGGAGCCGGGGGACGGCGGGCGCTGGGTCCCCCTCCCGGCGGAGGGGCTGCGGGGGGCCCGGCCGGAGGCGGCCTCGGGGCCGGCAGGGCTGCGGCTGCAGTGCCGGGTGAGCTGGGCCGGTGAGCTGGGCGGGGCCGGGCTGGGGGGGCCTGGCTGGGAGGCTCCGAGGGGGCGGCCCGGACCCCCGGTGCCCGGCCTGAGTGCCCCCCCCCCGCAGGCAGCGGGCGGCCGGCCCGTCCTCTACCAGGTGGTGGCCCGGCACAGCTACTCCGCCCAGGGGCCCGCGGACCTGGGCCTGCGGCCGGGCAACACGGTGGACGTGCTGTGTGAGGGTAAGCGGCAGCCGCCCCCCCCCTGCACGGGCGCCGGGTCCGAGGGGACGTGGCTCACGTGGTTCCTTGCAGTGGACCAGGCCTGGCTGGAGGGCCACTGTGACGGCCACATCGGCATCTTCCCCAAGAGCTTCGTGGTCCCCGCGGGCCCGCGCTGAGGAGCCGCCCCCTCCCGCCCGCCCTGCCCCTCTCCTCCCGCCTCCCCCACCCGCCCTGCCCCTCTCCTCCCCGCCCCCCCTCCCGCCCGCCCTGCCCCTCTCCTCCCCGCCCCCCCCACCCGCCCTGCCCCTCTCCTCCCCGCCCCCCCACCTGCCCTGCCCCTCTCCTCCCGCCTCCCCCACCCGCCCTGCCCCTCTCCTCCCCGCCCCCCCTCCCACCCGCCCTGCCCCTCTCCTCCCCGCCCCCCCCCACCTGCCCTGCCCCTCTCCTCCCCGCCCCCCCCACCTGCCCTGCCCCTCTCCTCCCGCCCCCCCCTCGCCGCCCGCCCCGCCCCTCTCCTCCCCGCCCCCCCCTCGCCCCCTGCCCTGCCCCTCTCCTCCCCGCCCCCCCACCTGCCCCGCCCCTCTCCTCCCCGCCCCCCCACCTGCCCCGCCCCTCTCCTCCCCGCCCCCCCTCCCGCCCCGCCCCTCTCCTCCCCGCCCCCCCTCCCGCCCGCCCCGCCCCTCTCCTCCCCGCCCCCCCCGCCCCCTGCCCCGCCCCTCTCCTCCCCGCCCCCCCCCCGCCCAGCCCACAGGAGCAGCGGGGCAGTCCGTGGTCAGAGGGAGGGTTTTAATAAAAGCGATGCTCCCGCCAAGGCGTGACGCGTTTTGTGGGCGCGGGCGGTAACGGGCTCCAGGCTGGGCCTCCCCTGCTCCCCCCCCAGCTCCACTGACTCCGGGCCCCCAGCCCCCCACCTGCCCCTGCCAGGGAGTCAGGCCAGCCCGGGGGGGCACTGCGGGGAGGAGCGGGGGTCCCGGCCGGCGGCCCGCACCGGGGCCGTGCTCAGGCCCGGCGCCAGAGGAGCTGGGCCACGGCCACGGCCACGGCGAGCACGGCCACGAGGGTCAGCGCCACCAGGATGACGCCGGCCACCCAGACGGCCTGGCTCTGGGCGCGGCCTGGGGCGGGCGCCTCGGCCGGGACCATGTTGGTCAGGTTCAGCATGTAGCCCAGTGTCCAGCCGATGTCAGCGCCCCCAGCCTGCGGGAAGGGCACATGGCGGGCGGTCAGGGCCGGGCGGTCAGGGTGGGGCGGTCAGGGCCAGGCGGTCAGGGCCGGGCGGTCAGGGCCGGGCGGTCAGGGCCGGGCGGTCAGGGCGGGGCGGTCAGGGCGGGTCGTCAGGGCGGGGTGGTCAGGGCCGGGCGGTCAGGGCGGGGCGGTCAGGGCGGGGCGGTCAGGGCGGGGCGGTCAGGGCGGGGCGGTCAGGGCCGGGCGGTCAGGGCCGGGCGGTCAGGGCCGGGCGGTCAGGGCGGGGCGGTCAGGGCCAGGCGGTCAGGGCGGGGCGGTCAGGGCGGGGCGGTGAGGGCGGGGCGGTGAGGGCGGGGCGGTGAGGGCGGGGCGGTGAGGGCGGGGCGGTCAGGGCGGGGCGGTCAGGGCGGGGCGGTCAGGGCCGGGCGGTCAGGGCCGGGCGGTCAGGGCCGGGCGGTCAGGGCCGGGCGGTCAGGGCCGGGCGGTCAGGGCCGGGGGCCCCACCCCTCCAGCCGCCCCCCGGCCCAGGGCAGCCACCTTCTTGCGGAAGGCGATGCGGGGCCAGGTCTCCTCGCTGAAGCCGTAGCCCTGGAGCAGCAGTGTGAGGAGGTAGAGGCCGGAGGCGCAGTAGTCACGCAGCCACGGCTGCTGCCCGGGCCAGGACGCCTCCACCTGGGCCAGACCAGGAGCCGGTGAGGCCGCCCCCACCTGAGCAACGGGGTGTCCTCCCTCCATGGCTCCCCCAAACCCCGGGCCAGCCTGTCCTGCCCGCTGGGTTCCCGCCCAGGAGGCCGCCCCGGCCCACCCACCTGCTTCCAGGGCTTCTGGCAGAACTCCCAGACGGTGGCGTTGACCTTGGCCAGCGGCTGCCCAGCCGTGAGGTTCAGGAAGTGGAAGGTGTAGTAGAAGTTAGAGAAGGCCTGGGGGGCGGCGAGGAGACGGGGTGTCTGCGATGGGCGGCGCCGGGCAGGCGGGTGCCCCCGGCCCACACCCGGTCCAGGGAGCCGGCCCGTCCACCCGCCCAGGGCTCCGCGGGCCCCTCGCTCACATAGAACTGGCCCTGCACCGGGGGCTGGTAGACCCCGTTGAAGGCGCAGTCCTGGCGGCCGCTGCAGCTGGAGAAGTTGAAAAGTTCTCGGATGGCGGAGACGCAGGCCCCGGGGTTCCCGGTCCCCTCCACGGGCAGGCTCGCGGGGGAGCCCGGGCGGGGCGCGGCCCGGACACACGGCGACTCGTACAGGGGGGCCAGGGACAGCGTGTCCACGTAGCCGCCGTGGTAGCACGGGTGCCGGACAAGGGGAGCCGTGCTGTTCTGCAGGGGCGAGGGCGGCCATGAACACCGGCCTGGGGCAGGGCACCCCATCGGAGCGCCCCTCCCCTCCAACCCCGACCCCGAAGCCCACCTGCACCAGCTTGGCCAGCAGCCTGGTCAGCGCCTGGTCGCGCCCGTAGCAGAGGTAGCTGTGGGTGTAGACCCGGTGCTCAAAGCCGTAGAGCCGGAAGGAGGCCTGGGTGCTCTGGTCCCGGATGGGGCCTTGGGGCACGAAGGTGATCTGGGTGGAGGCCCCGCCCATGTCCAGGGCGCCCACCAGCGTCCCCTCCGGAGGCCGGATCCACTCTCCGGAGAAGGAGTACTAGGCACAGACGGACACCAGCTTCAGGACCGGCCGTGTGGGCCGGCCCGGCTCCTCCCGCCGCAGGCCGCCCGGGCACCTTGACCAGCAGGCCCAGGACGTAGTTGATGGTGATCCAGCCCAAGGCGCCCTCGTCCTGCCCGGTCAGGAGCTCGGCGCCCCTGAAGGCCACGGGGGCCCGGCCCAGGACGTCCGAGACCGCTGCAAAGATGTGCCCGGCCTGGGAGCTGTTCTTCTGGCTGCGCAGAGCGGACAGACGGGCGGACGGACGGGGCGGAGCTGGCAGGAGGCCTGCCCACCCGTCCCGCCTGCCCCCCCCCCCCGCCCGGGGCGCTGAGGCCCTGGCTCAAGGCCTCTCCAGGGGTCACGTGCGACTCCCCCGGCCCTCCTCACCTGAGCAGCCGCATGCCGGCCGTGGCGCCCAGGAACAGGGGCGTCCGCTGCTGCTGGGCCTTGGGGATGGCGGCCAGCGCCTCCTGCAGGCAGCCCCGCAGGCTCTCGCCGGCCTGCGCGGGGTCGGAGGTGTAGGAGGAGATGCCGGGCCCTGAAACAGCAGCCCAGGACCAGGCTCCAGACCCCGAAGGCTGGCCGGGCAGAAAGGGCCTGTGGGGGTGGACATGGTCCCCAAAGGGTGTGTCCACCTGTGCACCCTGCCAGGCCTTCCACGCGGCCTCCTGGGAAAGGGGTGTCTGCAGGGTGAGTGGGAGAGGTCACCCGAGGGCCCCTGCGGGGACAGGTCCTTGTGCAGGAGGGGAGGGCCTGCAGGCAGGGAGGAAGCCACACGGGCAGGGGCAGAGGCTGCGTCTGGGGCCACAGGGCCGGCACCCAGGGGCCCCCGAGGCTGGAGAGGCTCAGGCAGGTCCTGTCCACACCCGGGAGGCAATGCAGGCCCCGGCCCAGCACCCACAGAGCCGCTGGGCCTCCTGGGGCAGCTCACCCCCCCTCTCTGAGCCCCTCCTTGAGGGTAATCTGCCACTCACTAGGGACGGGGACCAGCCCAGGCCAGCTCCCAGCTGGGGGGCGGGGAGCCCCAACAGCGCCCCCTCTGACAGGGCGACCGCTGACCTTTCACCTGGCAGGTCAGGGTTTGGCTGACCACACCGGTGTCGTTCTCCTTGTCCGCCGGCCACTGGTACACGAAGAGGGACGTGTGGGAGGACCCCGCATCAAACACGATCCCAAACTGGGGGTGACACCGGGGTCAGGAGGGCGTGGGGCCGGCACACCCCTGGCCCCGCCCCCTCCCGCCCCAGGCGCCCCTGACCCCGCCCACACCGCACAGTCCCGCCCCGCAGGCACCCCTGACCCCGCCCATACCCGCCCCAGGTCCCGCCCCCATACGCCCCGCCCCAGGTACCCCTGGCCCCGCCCACACCCGTCCAGGCCCCGCCCCCGTACGCCCTGGTCCCGCCCCCGCCCCCAGGCGCACCTTGGTGTCCACGGGCAGCAGGATGCTGGCGACCTGCACCAGGGTGAGCACCAGCGCGGTGAGGCCTAGGGCTACCGTGACGCCCAGCAGGGCCACGATCACCTTCTCCTTAACCGTCAGCTTCATGCTGGGGGCGGGCTGGGCCTGGGGGGCAGCAATGGGCAGGCTCCACCCTGGGGTCCTGCCCCCTCGCTTGGCCAGAGGGAACCCAGGAGCTGCGGGCGCTGGGGGTGGGAGCGGGCCCCAGAGGCCGGCCTGCGCTGGGCGCCCCCACGCCTTTGTAAGCTCCGCCCATGCCGCCCTCCGGACCCCTCCCAGGACCCCCTCCACGGTCCAGCCTCCTCTGGGGCCCCTCCCAGGCCTTCCCCAGGCTGGGTTCCTCTCTGGGCCCTGGGCCAGGCCTACCCAGAAGGGCAGCGGTGACCTCCTGCACCCCGATGGACGAATGAGGTCACTGGGTCCCGGGAGCCCGTCTCCACTAAAGCACCTGAGGGGCAGTTAGCAGAGACGGGTTTGTGTGGAAGCCAGCCTCTGCGTCTGCAGTCTGCGCTGAAAGGCTTATTCCGGCCCCTGATGCCCCCCCCCGCCCCTCCTCCCTGCAGCATCCTGGCTGACCCCGAGGGCAGGCCCCAGCTGCTGCTCACCAGGGTCACCCAGGGCCTCGAGCCAGCTGGCACCGCTGCCCGGGGAACCTGATCTGAGTCGGCAGCGCTTTGGGGTCCCCGTGATTTTGTGTCATCTATTCCCCCAGGAAGGCAAACACGGCTGGAGCAGGGCCGGGGAGGAGGGGGGGAGGAGGGAGAGTGGAAGAGGGAGGGAGGCTGCCTCTGTCCTGCTCCTGCCGATCCTGACCGGCCCTAAAGGGGTGCTGACAGGTGGGGGCTCCCTCCGTCCAGAAGGAGGGAGGACGGAGGCTCAGAGGAGGCGGGTACTGCTTGGGCTGCAGCGAGGGCAGTCCTGGCCACGGCTCAGAGACAAGCTGGTGACAGAACAAAACCAGGGCCCCAGAACCCCATGCCACACCCCATCTCCCTGGATACAGCATCTGAGCCCCCTGTGGGCGGGCAAAGACAATGGGCCGACTCCCCAGAGTCAGGAGAGCCCCCAGGACTGTCAGCACCCTCCTAGACTGGTAAGCCCACCCCAGACCAGGACAGCCCCCCTCAGGCCAGGACAGCCCCCCTCCAGGCCTGGCCGCCCCTCACCTGTGCTGGTGGCCGGCGGCAGCAGGAGGAAGCTGGGCTGCTGTGCCTCAGGTACCTGCGTCTCGCTGGGCGCTGCCCGTCCCCTCCCCACCCGTTAGTCACTAGCTGCCCGCACCTGCATATCTGCGGGCAGGAGCCGCAGCCAGAGGCAGGAGCCGGAGCCCCACCCCACCCCCTGGGCTTGCAGACAGTGGCTGAGGCTCCTGAGGCCAAGTTCAGGCCCCTGACAGTCACTCCCTCTCCACAGGCTGAGGCTCTCCCAGCCGCCGCGCCCAGGCTTTTCCCTGCACTTGCTGCGCAGGGTCCCCCTCTGCCCGCCTGCTCTCGGACCCCAGCAGGTGGGCCCGCCCCTCCGGGGAGGCGGACCTTGCCCTCCGCCCCGCCCTCCCCCAACTGGCAGAAGAGCCAGGGCAGGTCAGTCAGGTGAGTCAGGTGACTAGAAGGGGAGCCAGGCTCGGGCGGGAGCAAAGGCCAGGGCGGCCCAGCCCGGGGTGTGTGGGGGCTGAGGGGGGGGCAGGGGCTGCAGCCTGAGCGCCTGCTGGGGGTGTCCGCTCTCAGAACCGCTTCTGTGCCCAGCTGAGGGCCCTGGCCTCCCTTCTGTGCCCAGCTGAGGGCCCTGGCCGCCCTTCTGTGCCCAGCTGAGGGCCCTGGCCTCCCTTCTGTGCCCAGCTGAGGGCCCTGGCCGCCCTTCTGTGCCCAGCTGAGGGCCCTGGCCGCCCTTCTGTGCCCAGCTGAGGGCCCTGGCCGCCCTTCTGTGCCCAGCTGAGGGCCCTGGCCGCCCTTCTGTGCCCAGCTGAGGGCCCTGGCCGCCCTTCTGTGCCCAGCTGAGGGCCTGGCCGCCCTCCTCAAGCAGAGCTCCTTCTCCACAGCTCCTCTGGAGGGCAGGTCCCAGGGACGATGGCACCTGGCTTCTCCCGCTCAGCACAGGCGCCCGGTCCCTCCTCTGCGCCCACCTCCGTCCTCCCCGTCCAAGGCGTTCCGGGAGTTTCCACCTTCTGACCCTGAAGTCACAGGTGAGGGACTTGGGGCACAGGTCTCCCCGGACCCACCCAGGAGGTAGGCCACCGGGGTCCTGAGTCAGGCCACTAACTGCCCCCCCTTTCCTGGCAGGAGAGCCCGTTCCTGCTCCCTCACAGCGACCTCTTGGTTCTGGGGTCCACGCTCAACCACGGAGCCACACCGGCCGGCTCGGCGTAAACTTTGACACCCTCTTCTGCCCGTTTTCCAATGGATTTTTTAATTGTTTGTAGCTGCTGAGTTGTGTGAATTCTTCATATTTGCTGCCCGTTGGCCCCTTATCAGGTGCGTGGTTTGCAATTCTCATGTCCGTCTTCAAGCTGCCTCCGCTCTGCGACGGCTCCCTGGGCTCCACAGAGACTTTTCGTGTGACAGACCTGTCTCTTGTGGCCTTTGTTACTGGTGCTTTTGGTGCAGGGTTTTGGTGGTGTTATTTTTTGTTGTTTGTTTTTTAAAATATATTTGTATTGATTTCAGAGAGGAAGGGAGAGAGAGGTCGAGAGAGATAGAAACATCAGTGATGAGAAAGAATCATGGATTGGCTGCCCCCCCACTGGGGATCAAGCCTGCAACCCAGGTATGTGCCCCCGACCGGAATCGAACCCTCTCAGTCCGCAGGCCAACACTCTATCCACTGAGCCAAACCAGCCAGGGCTCAGTGCAGATTTGAAGGAATCAGTACCAAGCCTAATGTCAAGGAGATTCCTGCCTGTGTTCTTCTAGGGGCTGTACGCTCAAGGCTCCAATCCTTTACGTCCATCCGGTGTGTGGTGTGAGGGAGGGTCCAGTTTTCCCGACACCGTTGATGGAAGGGATCTTCCTCCCCCGTTGCATAATTTTGGCTCCTTTGTCATAAATCAGTCGACCACGTGTACGTCCACGGGTTTATTTCTGGGCTCCCTACTCTGTCCCATCGATATGTTTTTCCTGTCAATGCCATGCTGTTTTGAGGACTGTAGCTCTGTAGCATAGTTTGAAACCTGGGGGTAAGTTGCCTCCAGCTTTCTTCTCCTTTCTGACGCTTGCTGTAGCTATTTGGGGCCGTTCGTGGTCTCACACAACATTTTGGGTTTGTTGTTTTGGTTTGCAGATGCTGAATCATCCTGCATCTCTGGAACAATCCCACGTGACGGTGATGAGGTATCCTCTTAGTGTATTGCCGAGTTCCGTCTGCTGACATTTCGCTGAGGATTTTGGCATCTACAGTCATCAGCGATGTTGTTGTTGTGTGCCATCCTTGTCTGGGTTTGGCATCAGGGTAAGGTCTTGGTATTTTTTTAGGATAGTTTGAGAAGGATTGGTATTAACTTTTCTTTGAATGTTTGGTAGGAGTCACCAGTGAAGCCATCTGGTGCTGGATTCGTGTTTTTTGGGAGGTTTCTGATGGCTGACTCAGCGTCCTTGCTAGTAATTAGTCTGTCCAGCTCTCCTGTTTCATCAGGACCCGTGACACTTAACAGTGGCTGCCAGATTCTGTCCAACGGGACGGCAGCCACTCACAGTGCCTCCTCCACACCCGCCAGCACATATACATCTACCACGAATGATACCTTTTATAGGTTTTATATGATATAAAAGTAACTTAAAGACTAAAATTACAGCTCTGACTGGTTTGGCTCAGGGGATAGAGTGTCGGCCTTCGGACTGAAGGGTTCCGGGTTTGAGTCCGGTCAAGGGCATGTGCCTGGGTTGCGGGCACATCCCCAGTGGTGGTGGGGTGCAGGAAGCAGCTGATCAATGTTTCTCTCTTATCAGTGTTTCTAACTCTCTATCCTTCTCCCTTCCGCTCTGTAAAAGAATCAATAAAAGATATTTTAAAACAAAACAAAAACACCCATAAAAACGTCCTCCCTGTTAAGGACCTGACCCTCTCACGTGCTGTGAATACTTCTTCCCCCACCACCTCTGCCTCACCTCTGCCTCGCTGGTGTCTCAGGCGGGCAGTGGGCAGGCGCGGTCACCTCACTGGTGTACTTTGCCGGACCGAAACCTAACCGAAACCTAACATTGTCACCGCACTGGTGTACTTCCTTTTCCGGACCGAGACCTAACATTGTCACTGGTAATAAATTGTAAAGGGAGCTGGCCAACCCCTATGGCTCTGAATGGTCGGAGCTATTAACTCATTGACTCTAGGTTGAGTCACTAGTGGTTAAAATGTAAAAAGAGCCGCTGACCGAAACCAAACATTGTTCCCTGGTAGTAAAATGTAAAAAGCTGGCCAGCCTCCATGGCTCCGAATGGTGAACGGTCAGAGCTATTAGCTCGTTGTCTAGTTGAGATAATGGTAGGTGAGGCAACTTGAATTTGTTGATCAGATGTAAATTCTTGATTTTCTGCTGTTGGAATTTCCCGCCCAAGAGATGTCTTTATCTCAGAATTCCAATAAAAGGGATGGTAAAGGCCAGAGCAGGAGTGGTCCTCCCACTACAGGTGGACTTCCCGCCTGGCCATTTTCCAAATGAACCCTTTTCCAGTCCCATCTCCCCCTTTATCTTAGGGTGCGGCCTTCTCCGGAAACCGGACCCCGAGTGGGCCCTGAACCACATACTTTCCCCCGAATGCCTCCGTGTTTGCACTGCCTGTTCCTGGGCACCGTCGGTGTTTGCCATCTGTCCCTCCACGATGCCCCCCCTGGGTGGGAATGGGTGTGGGGAGTGGAACTTGGAACCAGGTGGCCACCTGGAGCTTCCTGCAGGTGGGGCAGGCCCGCCCAGCCCTCACCCGCCTCGGCCGCCCCGGGTCCCATCGAGGCCGGGCGAGGCCAGGGGCACATGGCAGAGCTTCGGCTGGCCCGGGGCAGGACGGAGGGCCCTCCGAGCACGTGTGCGGGAGGTGGGCCGTGTGGGAGGCCGCCTGCTTGGGCCTGCGGGGTTTTATCTACCAGCAGAAGTGCCTGAGGGC